TAAAAAGGCAATCTTCTAAACAATTTTAAAATATTTACAACTTTAATTATATAGAAATGTTCATAACACAGTAAGTAATTCCATTAGTTGCATAAGCTTTTACGTGAGTCTTTTTAATTAATTGAAAATTAAGTCTGTAATAACTCTTAAAATAGCTCCTGTAATACCGGTACTTGATAATTGCTTGATTTCTAGCAACGAGTACACAAGTTAAAAATTCAACAATGCATTAACATAACAAGCTCTCTTTCACGCTGCAAGACTAGTAAACGGCAGAAGTAAGGCAGAACGGCAGAACTGCGGTATTGGTTTACCATACACGCCTGCAACGATGCGCTGCAAACCGCGCGACGAGTAGCTAAATGAACCGTAGAGTAAGTGAGCCTTCTAATATTTGTAGAGGGTTCACTTACTCTACAGATCATTGTGCCAATGAACTGTAGAGTAAGTGAGCCGTCTTCTATTTGTGTAATAGTTATCATGAAATAGGCTCGTATAGTATACGAGCCTACTCCTGTAATTTATTTAAATTCAGTATTTTGGCTCGTATACTATACGAGCTTATTCCTGAATTATTCAAGAATTCATACGCTTGGCTCATAGGCACAATGATCTGTAGAGTAAGTGAACCCTCTTCATTTATTTGATATTTTTGATCGGCTCGTATAGTATACGAGCCTGTAGTGCAAGTGAACCTTCAATATTATTTACGAAGCTCGTATAGACTATGATTTGTAGAGTAAGTGAGCCATGTGTTTTAAGAATTACATATTTGGAGGCTCATTGTGTCAATGATTCGTAGAGTAAGTGAACCCTAACCGTAAAAACATTGGTCTTGTTCCAAAGTTAAATCTGTCACTAATCCAAGTTTATGCAGCTTTATCTGTGTTGTGCAGTCAAGTTAAATCTTTTGGTAAACCACTTGATGTTCAATCGTTCCCTGAATGACTCGTCTTTTCAGATTCAACACCTCTGATCCTACATTTCAGAGTTGCACTTGCCCACATTGGCTCATTAAAGCACACATACAAAGAGCTCTATGTAGGAAATACCATTACTGTATCGGTGGTAAAGGTCTTATTTCTATTGATGAACCTATCCCAAGTTGTTGTTGCTTAGGTGGTATCAGGTGAGGACTCTTATTCCAGTAAAAATTAGCTAATGATGGTGTATTTAGAAATTAGATAAATGTCTAATTCAATATACAAAGTCAAAAACAAATATAGAAACTACAAAAACCTGAGGGATAAAATCATTGACTACTAGCGGACCTGAGCATACGGATGAATCAAATGGCGAACTCACACACCTTCCTGAACCATCTATTCACCATTTTCAGCCAATCAGAGTGTGAATACATTTCCCCAGTGTCAACATTGTAAATGTAAATTTGTGCATAGGCCTACCTACAGGTTGCCTAGATGATGGTGCAAGAGTACCCACATGGTGATAGAACGCATCGTGAATTTTGAAGTTGTTGTCACTGTTAGCTAAAGATTCCTCTAGTTTTTAGCTTCAGAGCTGATCATAGCAAGTACAGCGCTAAATGAGCGAACGTGTTACAGGTAATTATGTGATTCCTTAAGAACAGTATCATTCGAATGGTGGCAAATGACGGCAAAGATATTTTCAATGATATACAACACTCCTGGATTGAGCCCGCTGTGTTCGCCTGGCGGTCCGGCGCTCCCCCACCACTGCATGGCAAAAGACACTGCTGCCCTGCACTCACCATTATAAAACGCCTCTCTTTAGCTGCGTCCTGGTCGGTTAATATTGGGTTTGAATAATGCTATTGTATTTCTAACCTTTTTTCCTTAGTCCACTCTCCATATTTCGGCTTTGTTTACAAAATAATAATTACTTTAAACTCTCTAAAAGTGAATTCATAAATATCACTTTTTCTAATATTTTAGAGTTATTTGTTACAACAGATACAAAAAACGCACAAACTTGGTTTAAGCTTAATACAGATTGGTTATTTTATTGTATTAAAATAAAAATAAATAAAAAAGACTCAGTCAATACAATACAGTTTTTAAACCTTAATTTATTTCGATTATATTTGGAACAAACCCAACGTTTTAAATATTTTCGAACAATATGAGTTTGTTAAGTTTTCGTCTTAGGCCTATACTTGAATTATTTACAATGAACTTTTATTTGGCAACATGGTGGTAATACACTTTGCAAAAATAGTTACATATCACCTTAACTAAAGACATGCATGTGATACAAAAGAATCAATTGCTTCGTGGCCATTAAAAACAGATCCCATAAAATAATTGCAAGTAAGTACTCTTATCTCATTGATGATGCAATTTTCTCGCACATGGAATTGCTCTACCAATGACAGATAAATAAACTTAACTATCATCATGAGCCCTAATTAACTTGCCTTTAGTTACATAATCCGTAATCTGAGTGTAAGATTGTCATCATACACATTTTCACTAACTGCCATAAAGTTACAGCAGAGATTTTGTTGATAAAGAAATACCCAAATACACACCTGTACAGATGATTGACAACAGAATTCAGCACAAACTCTGAAAGTTTAAAAGCCTGTATGATGAAGGGTTTTCATGAAATATAATCCCGCAAAAGGAACAGAGGATAAGAGCTTTATTGATACCCAATATGCCTAAAATAAATATTTATGAGTCAATTTGCTGCACACAAAAATTCAACAATTTACCTTTATTTTCAATATTATTCAGCAACATTTGCAGAGGAAACAAATTATTTTCTAAGAGTGCAATAATTAGATTTTCTGGAGCTTTTAATTTTTTCTTCAACGTGTAAAACGTATGTACATTGTTGCAGGTTTTATAAACAAAGATGCGAGTGCACAGACGCAGCGCAGGGCGTCAGACGGCAATCGCGCCATTGCCATGCAGTGGTGGGGGAAGCCGGACCGAAAACTGAGCCCGCCACTGCACAGTTGGGCGCAATCCAGGAGTGTTGTATATATATCGTTGGATATTTTACCCTTGTGGCAGCACAGGGTAAACTGAAAATGAGGGGCATTTCTGGTCGCTTTTCTACTTGTCAAAATGCTTCGATGTACAGGCAACACAGGCTAGTGCCAGAGAGCGATTGTGAAAGAAAAGTCAACTCAGGGAAGTGTCAGGGTGCACTTACACCCAACCCAACCCAACAATTGTAGGTTGCTCAGATGCTGATTGTGCTGTGTTATCTGTAATATGCCCCACTGTCTTTTGGTTGTGGTTGTTTCACGATGACGCCGCCTGGCTATGTTTCTTTGCTGTAGCGTAGGAGGCATTTTCAAGAAAAATACCAAAATAACTAAACAAATTAAAGCAATCATCACACCAACATGATTCCTCTTGGTGGTTATGATTGTTATGAATAACTAAGCAAATCCAAGCTGTTCCCTATCAAAGGTATTACCAACACTGAGCAAAAGAATCTTGTATTGAGATTCTCTTTATGCTTCTGTATATGTAAAAAATTTATGAAAACAAGGCTACGATTATACTAGGACGCTGGCGTCCGAGAGGCTAGCATCCCACTTCGAGCCGAAAATGACGCGATTTGTGTTGGGATGCTAGCCTCTCGGACTGCCATTTTATTTCAATGTTTTGTAACATTTTGTTTATATCTCTTTAAATAACATTAGGTTTAACGAGTACCCAGGTTTGCTGCTTGAAGGAGGCCAATAAAGTGTGTTTTTAGTAAAATATTAATAGCTTAATTTGGCCAAGTTTGATAAAAAATATATCCATACACAAGCAAATTCCAACAGTGAAAAATATTTTCCATAGGAACAACATGGGAATTCTTAATTTACACTTTTTTAAATTTTCTCAGTAACTAATAACCGTACAAAAACACTTTAATATACTAAATTATTTGTTTTTAAGCTCTTTAAAATTGTCGAGAGAGAAATAGTTGGAAAATTTTGTGTTTTACCGGTCAAAAATGACAAAACCCCATAAAACCCGTTCCCAAGGTCCGTTCATGCTGGTTCGCGAACTCATTCAAGATTATCCCGCCCTTCACCTCTAAACCAAATTTTATCAAAATCGGACAAAAATTACTCAAGTTATCACGTGTACGGACATATATATAATATTTAAAATCTATATGAACGGATGGTGTTTTTGGCCTCTGGGGACATGAAATCCAAAAAGTAGATCGGTTCCGGGTCCAGGTCTTAACCATGCGACCTATGGTAATAGCGTATTTCCTATATTCGCGCACATGTCGAAAGAGTGTGTCTTGGATGCTAGCCGCCTAGTATAATGCGCCACATTTGAACCAATGCCCCACAACTGATTTTGTGCATCCTGGGAGGCAAAACGGACGCTCGAATTTCAGCCTCCCAGCTTGGAGGCACAAAATCGAGCGTCCGATGACGCAGGCATCCCTAGTATAATCGCCCCCATTTGATTTAATGCCCCGCTAGCGTTCCGGACGCCAGCGTCCTAGTATAATCGTAGCCTAATAACTGAAAACTGTATGAAGGATAAATAAATATAGCTTACAGCAAATGTGAGATAGCTATTGTGTAAACATCTATTTTGAAGTAAACAAATGCTAATAAGAATAGTACAGGCAAAATTTTTATTTTTGATTCAATATTCCTCATGACCACGGTCACTTAAAAAAATTTAAGATCAGTTTGCACACCTATGTGACACGCTATTTCCAATGAGGCGTGAATGGTCATAATCGGCTAAGAAATAGCGGAGGAGTTCAGTTGACAAATTTCATGTTGTCATATTAATTATATATATAGATATATAGATTGGATACTGAAGTAGGTCTAAACATCCCATCTATATGGACCAACTGTAGAACATTTTTTTTAAAGAACATAGTTGGGTGAGCCAGCCACAGAATGTGCTAGTGTCTAAAATTAAAATTATTTTCTCAACTAAGTGTAAATATTCTAAATGATAACATCAGCATTCAGTTTGTTCTGTTGATTATTGAACTAAATGATTTGGGGTAAAGATCAAAGTGCATGGTAATACATAACATTTATTATAAAAATTCATTAGGTAATTTTTTAAATTCAAAATATAATTTTAATTATGCTTTTGAAGCACATTAGGTAAAACTTCTTTTCGATCCTAAAAATTCTAATGACTAAGGAACAGTTTCTTTGTTTTTAAACATTTAAATATGTAAATACATACACAACTGTGCTTATAGCATATAATTAGTAAATTTTTAAGTTACAACACAAGGCAAATCCTGTTTGTATTAAAAGTTAGAATCGTATAAAAAGTAAATAGATTAATAACCCTTCAGTAAAATTTAATACATTTTTAAAACCTTTTGCGTCTCTGTAATATAGTAAAATCTACATTTCAGAGAGCCGATATGCCAGTATAATAGCCTTTATTTTATTAGATTTATCATTGATAATGATAATAAAATAAAGATCTACCCAAGTATAAAATTAGTTACACTTATCACCCATCCTCTGGTTCTAGTACATTTATTTTGTGTTGTATTCTAAATATCAATTTGATTACCTTGTCTTTCACATAGTAACAAGAATATTGTAAGAACATAATAAAAAAGTACAAAAACTTAGCAATACAAAATAAGCAACAGTCCTCTGTACATATGCATGAAAAAATTGTAAACATATCCAAGTAATTTGAAAACCTGGAGTAAAAAAGCACAACCCCAAAAACCCCATTTATGATCATTCAGCCCAAAATACGGAATGATATCTCTGAACTGGTGAAATTATTTTTAAGGAATGTTGGTCAAAATTAAGTTCTCAAAGAATGTAAGTGGAAACTATTAGCGCTCTTTTCATCTTTACAGTATGGTGGTATTTTTTTATTTCATGGCACGGTTTATAAGGCACAATATACATGAAAATATTTATATCAATATTGGTTCCCCAAGTCAACTAAAGTAAATATTTAAGTAAAAAAATTAATAAAGAAACCAGTTTCAAGCCAAATCTATAACATGAAGAGTTTAAAAACTTGTATTGTAGTGATAAAATATTAATTTTGTTTACAAAAACAGTGCAAATTGATGTTATTTTAAATTATATGATTTGATAAGAATTTCAAACTTGCCTGCCAAAATGTTTGGCTGTTTAAAAAGTAGCAAACATAAGTTATATTATTATGACCATGGGACTAAAATATAATGGAGAAAGTTTCTCACTTACCTAATCTTTTCACTCAGAAAAAACTTCCATCACTTAAAGTAATATTTTACAGCTATAATTACAATAAATTGGTACAACAAGTTAACATTGAAAATATATATTTATATAAAACAGTTCATTTGAACACATAAAGCTTACATAAATTAAACCGGAGTTGTAACATCTTTGTGCTTAGAGCAAAAGAAGTGCTAAGTCAATACTTAAAATTATCACATGTATAAAAATAAAACACCAAAGCAGGAAAAGGCGGAACAGTCCCAGAGTAACAATATGAGTACTTGGCATTGTTTGGTTTACTTATTATAGTTTTTGAAGGGAAAGGAAATAATCAATATAAAAAGTGTAGTACAGTAGTAGTAGTATTGTAAGAGTTATATTCTATTCTACTTCAACTGAATAGTTGTGTCAGTTTTCAAAACATATACCGTAGTTTTTGTCTAGAACTACCGGTACTAAAGGTCCATTTCCTATCCTGCGACTGTTACGACTCTAGCCGCGCGTCTAGATCCGTACGGCTGGAGACGCTTGTCTCAATTCCTATGCCGCGACTCCTACGACTCCCACGACTAGTGACTTGTGAAATTGCACTACTGACCGTCATGGAATAAGCACAGTTGGCAGCGAATATATTACTTGGAGAAAGGGAGGAAAAGGAATTATTAATGTGCATGGTAAAAAACAATGAACAACCTAATCCATTGTTCATGGTACGGTGAAAATAGCGGTTTCAGAGTATTCTTATTCAGAGACATCTTCTTCAAGTATTGGGGGTGAACGTATGGGTGGTGACGAACCAGTTCCATTAACTTTGAATCATCTATGAAGGTACACCACACCTCAAACTTCGTATGTATAAACTATAAATTCGTTACAGCCGCGTGACTGAAGCAACTGAACTGCTCACGGAGCAGTCCAGTCGCGACGGCTCTAGCCGCGCGGCTCGAGTCGCTTCAGTCGCGCGGCTGTAGACGCTCGATAGGAAACGGTTGCATTTACTTTGCATTAAAGCAGTAATTTATTTCAGCCGCGCGGCTCCCGCCGCGAGACTAGGGTCGTAACAGTCGCAGGATAGGAAGTGGACCTTTAGACTAATTCTGGAGCCACAATCCACTGTATGAATGGCTTTGTGAGACCTGGTAGCGAATGCGTTAAAACCATCTGAAGTAGATTTATTTTGAATCGTAAGTGATTTATTTATCAAAAGTATAAGAAGTACACCAAACAAAATACCTAAAAAATCACTCAGTTATTTTTGATTTTTAAATAATTCCAAATCAAATAAATAAAAGCAAAAAACTGTGTGTAAGTACTGAAAATGTTTAGATTTTAAAATCCTACAGGCATTTTAGGCTTTGGTACCTAATTTAAAAAGCTTACAAAAGGAGCAATCTGGCTGGTTCCAGATTCAGGTACAAGTTGGAAAATAACTTAGAGTTTTTCCTTTGATTAACACTGAGTTTAGCACTGCAACTAAGGTAACTCGTGGGTTGAACCACAGCAGTTTGTCAAGTATCACGCCATACACCCACGGTCTATACCAGCAGGCGAGAAGTCCCCACTGAACGTATCACTCTCCTCGTCAAACTGGTGATAGGACGAAGCGATGCTTGGACTTCCGCTCTCATAACCGGGCGAAACGGAACTGTTCATGTCCATCGGACGGAAATTCGCACTCGGAAACCCATTCATCATCACAGGCGGTAACTCCGGTTTGACAAATTGGTCTATATTGGTCAAATTTTGGCAAGAGTATTGTTCGGTGAAGGAGTTGTCACCACACCTATTGAACGTAAGCATCGGACTTTCTTTTGCCTCGGCCTCGTAGTTGTGGTACACCGTTTCCCCCTGGCGACAGTATGTTTCCTCGAGGACTGTCTCCATTCTTTGGTAAGGCTCCACACAGGTCTCCACCCTTCGGTAGGTCATGGTAGAGTCCACAGGGCGAGGGTAGGGGTCGAGGCGGCGGAAGTTCGGGCTGGGCTGGAAGGTGGTGACTGGGAAGGCGTGAGGCTTGGTGCAGGCCGGCCTATGCACCGTCAACATGTCTACCAGTCGTCGCCTCTGAGTCTCCAACTCCTGAATCTGGTTCTTGAGATCGTGGTTTTGGTTTTCCAGGATTTCTGACTCCTGAAATTAATTTTTAATTAGAAATGAGCTTTAGTTTGCGTTAGGCACTATAAATATGGCGCAAGCAGAGGGAAAAAACTAAGTTGCAAAATTGATCTTTATAAGATTTTAGAGAGCTCAAAGGGAATTTGTATAGTCTGCAGACTTCAAAATTCCTGCTAACTGTATTTTGAATCATGATAATTCATACCTGGTCGTATTATCGTATGGGACCAGTGAACGGAAGATTACAAATAAAAAGCTACTGGCAACTATCTTACTAATATTATAAATCTAAAAGTTTGTGTGTTGCTCAATCACGCATTGGGACGGATTGGGCTGTAATTTGGCATGATGATAGCTCACATTCCCGATCAACAGTTAGGCATATTCTTATCTCAAAAATCCTTTCGGGCTCCGCCCCAGTGGCTCTGTAGTTCCCCATGTTAACCTTATGAGTATTCATATTTAAAGGAAATTAAAGAATTTAGTCAACTGTTTCAACTTTACAAGTTGGTTCTATAATATGCAATAGCATTAAAAAGTTATAAGGTTTCCCAACAGGGTGCAGCACTATTATTATTTTGTGTTTACATATATGACAACAGCTAATTTTATCTAAGCAGCAACAAAAAGCTGTGATACACAATGAGAACTGTCAAAGTAGGATTGTTTGCAGTTAGGTTTGAGTTTTTAATTTAATGAATAATTTTTGATATTGTGCGAATGATTGATAATTTATTTTTTCTATTGTTTAGGTGCAGTGGTAGAACCTCCCCCAATTGCAAACGCAAACCTTGATTATAACTGCAATGAGCATTTTACTTACATGCCAACCCCGTACGAAGGACGGGTGCTCTGCTAGTTGTCTATACATTCAATATACTACCGTATGTATTCTCACTGTAGAAACTGAACACAGCCTTTAGATCATCTGCTTAAGATTCACTACAGGGATCAAACTTACAATCAAGGCGGTAATATTTCTTAGCATAATCATGATCATGAGCATAATCATGATTATAAGGATGATACCAACCTGAACTAAGTTGACTGTGCGTTCACGTTTCTTTAGTCGACATTTGGTTGCAGCAATCTTGTTTCTTTCTCGTCTTCTTCTTCGTCTTTCTTCGTCTTCGGGAGTCAACTGTAAAAACACACATAATTTGAAAAATCAAACTATAAGGAGTTTAAGTATAAAATTGTGTTAGCTTATCAAGTACTTTTCTAAAATTAGAGTTATCAGGAGTGCAATATTGCTAAATTAGGGAGTTATAAACCTTTCTCTCTCCCCCATTCCTCATAATTTTTCCCTCTTTTTTATGTTTTGAAGACTTTGTTCATAACAATTAACCGTAAATGCCCTTGTAGCTGCAGCAGCAAACATACAGGTTAAATTGAATTGAACTGTTGAATGGAATAAAATTTTGTTCTATGGACTAAAACAGATCATTATATTTTTTTTCTTTATTTCTATTACAATTCATTTTAAGGCAAACATAATATTGAAAGTGCAAATTTTAGTTGTAAATAGTTTAGTAAAATTACCAATTTAAATTATTGCACAGGTTTTAATTAATTTACATTTGAAGCTAAGCCCATTAAACAAAGTCTATAAGAAAAGTATTTCACAAAAACCAGGACTGTACGTATACCTACTTTGTAAATAGTAACAATTTATTAGTTTGATAAATATATGCATTTAAAAGATGCCACAATTCTGGTAAAACGTGCATCACTGAGCAACATAGGCAACATCAAGAATAATGGAAGTCAATAAGATGCAACTAGCTTGCCCCCTCCCCCTGAAGATATTTCCAGAGTTGTCCTTAATCATTAAACACCCTTGATTAAATGGAAGACATTTGTTGAGAATTCCCTTGATATTATTTTAGCACACTAATAAGCCACTAGTTGGAAGATATTTCCTAGATCTGTTCTTAATATCTAACAAAAATGGAAGAAATTTCCTAAAGGCTCCTTTGATATTAAGCACCTCTAAGGGACAAAGTAGAAGAAACACATACCCCGTCGTGTGAGTCGTCTCCAGTGCCGTCCCCACTGATCTCGTCCGACAGTCGAGGTATCTTGTGTGGGTCGAGCTCTCCGCTGTTCTGGCGTCGCTTGGTCTGAATCGTCAGCTTCAGACCCTCCTTGATTAGTTGAGAACATGTGCTCTGCACAGACGGGGGAGACACACACCCCCCAGACCCTACAACATAGAGTCAGAAAAGATAATTAGAGATGTATTGAGATGTGAAGAATCAGAGCTAGGCATGTTAGATTATGTAAATGCAGTGGGGGTTCATAAATTGGTACCCCTCTTGTTCATTTTATGACCCATCGGGGTTATATAATGTAAAAATTCATTAGGAGGGCTAACGGTTGCGCCAGGTAGAGGATGTCGGGTGATTAAAGACTTTTTACTTCAAATGGCGACCATATGAAGGTAGATATTTTAAGCCAATTATGAAGACTGGAAACAGCTGGTCCATATGAAACTATTGTTATTGGGCCATCCGTCAATGATGCAACCAAATTAAGAGTCCAGGATGGATTAACATACAAGGCCAGGAGCTAGCAGTCCCCCCCCCCCAAAAATAACTCAAAATTCAATGGATTTTAATATCACAAAAATGTAAGGGGATGTTCACTTCAGACGCTAAAGTCAATACAGTACTATACAGTAGTTACTGTTTAATAACAAAAATTTCACTAATTACATTACAAGTGGTAAACATTTTGAGCTGAACATTCAAATGTAAATACAGTAGAGTGTAGAATTGAGTTAGATCTAGATGACAAGTTTAACTTTTTTACTGATACTGAGATCAGATGTTTCATTAGCCAAAGTCATTTTATTAAAAGCCTGCCGATCAAGAACAGCTGGGAACTGGACCCAGTTTTGCACCAATGTAATTCAAAATTGACTATTCTCAGGATTGAACCAACAACCTTCTGACTGTAAGGTGAGCATTGTTACCACTACAATGACGGAAACTTACCTGAGGATGAGTTGGAGATATCCGAGTTGCCCGGTGGTGACGAGGCGAGACGGGGCGCGTGTGATCGGTACGACGAGTCGAAGGGGTTGGTCATAGCGATGAGGGAGTTGAGGATCTCCGGGGTACGAGGAGTTGTGGAGTTCTCTCCCTGGGGGAGGGGGAGGGACAACATGCCACTCCCCCCACTGCCACTCATGTTCAGGTTGTACATGGCGATATCACAGGTCACATTATAACTAGCAGGTACTCAATATAGTATCACTTGACAGTCTTTGTTTATTTCGTTTCTCGAGTTGGCACCACTGTCGGAATCAGCTGATTCGCAGCTGTGAGTGACCCGCTAACAGATGTTCCTTCGATCTGCAGTCCGCTGACCTCTGGAACAGGAAAAAAGATCGTGTTAAAAGAGTGATAGGTTTTATGGTCATTTTTTTTAAATAGATACATGCTATGAGTTACATTGCATGATATTTCTATTAGCTGTGTTTTAAGAGGTTGGCGGTCCTTAACTAGACTTTGCCCGTCCATATAGATCACAGGCCTGGTGTGAAACCATAGATTCTGTGGAGAATCATAACAAGCAAAGGAAAGGGTGAGCCAGTTCACTACAAGAATAAACTATACTGATAAAGATACAAAGACGAGCACCCACAACGCCTTGGTATCAAAGTCCATTGTACAACTGGTACACCGACATACCAAATAAATAAGTAAACCTTTGAGTGGGTTTGGATCCACCTAAAGTAGTGCGGTCCAGATATCTTTTAGAGGTTTAAAACGTTTACATAAATAAGCTTTAAATATACTGATCCAAGTTAGTTAAGTGAATAAATTATGTATTAGGAAAGTATTTTTTTCAGTAGTCTAATCCATCAAATAATCTTAACATTTTTACTTCATCCAATACAGTATAAAAGCATAAGTACTACTATAGCAAGAGTTTGTAAAGTAAATTCAGTACAAAAAGTTTTCTGTCAAGTATTTTAAAATAAGTTTATTCACAAAGTCACGTAAATTTCACGAGAACGTTTGCATATTTCCCGTATCACTCTGGAATGCACATATAGATAACACATAATGAGGCGAAACGGAGAAAAACCTACTTCTTTGATAAGAAATATTTCAAGAATGTCATTTTTAGTTAGAAATCGCTGAAACAGTTTCTTTCAATTACATTCAAAATGGCTACGTCCAAATTCACCAACATTTTTGGGGTCGTTTCTAATGTCCAAATTCACCAACTTTCTACCTGGAGCAGGTACGATATTTCTCCCGGCGGGCGGGGAAGGAATTCCGAATAGTTTGCTCCGTCTCGTCTCGGCGAGAGTGTACTGCTAGTACAGGTAAAACTCACATAAGAAAACATAAAAATTAGTCCATTCATGAAACTTGCAGGAAACGTAGTAATTACCATTAGGTATTGGAATCTAAAGAGTCCCTAGTGATTGTGGGGGTGGAAGTACCATTTTATGGGGTTTTAAGTTTATGGGGGTAGTGATTTTGAGAAAATGTTCATTTATGGGATCCAAGCAAGTGGGGTGTCGTTTTCTATGTTTCTTAGGATGCAGAATCGAAAAAGAACATAATAAAAGCAATACAACCGACAGTTTATCATAAAAAGACTAATTTATTAATGAAAAACTAAATATGACAAATTAATTAAGGTAAAATAATCCAGTTAATTAATATCCATCACCTATTACAAAATTGATCATGAGTCTGTGTCACATGTTAAAGTTATGAGGAAAATTAACCAAGAAACTGGTAGTAACGACTCTTTAACCACCACGTGTCATATTGTTCATCAGCTACTGATGCATCATCAACTTCCATGGAATCGTCAGGGTCTCTAACTCGTTCTTCTCCATCATCGTTTTGACTTAACAGCTTAGTAGTGGGGATGGGTAGCAGAAACATATTTCAGTTCTGGCGAAAATCCTGCAACTTAGGGCGAAGATAATATATAAGACCAAGTATATAAAACCGCCCAGACCCGAATTTTTAAGGACCTTGGTCACCCGTAATGACGTCATTAATGTGGCGCTCGGAAGAGGATGCTAGGTCGCTATGAATTGGTTACTATACCAAAATGCCTGAACCGATTTTAATGAAATTTGGCATACAAGTGCTTGAATACTATATCTAATCCCAGTTTGTCAATGGTCGAGTTTGGTTAGGTCATTTCAAAATGGCGGCCATTAATATTTAAAATAATTAAAAATTGTTTAATGTTTTGTTTTTTCAACTCTCTCCAGAAATATGCAGCGATCTTTCATTTTCCTTGCAATCACAGGTTGTGATGCCATCTCTGCATTTCATGGAATATGCAAAATACCCCCACCGCAGCAAACCTGCAGATTTAGTGAGTTTTCATTTGCTTGAATTGATTTTCAATAAAATCTATTTCAATAACATTAAGTTTAATTAGTACCTAGGTTTGCTGCTACGGAGAGGATAGTAAAGTGTGTGTTTTTTAATTAAAACATTATAGCTTAGGTCAAAATAAATAAATTTGCCAAGTTTTATCAAAATATATCCATAAACGAGTAAACTACAACAGTGTACTTATTCTCCATAAGAATAAAATGTGAATGATAAATTTACAATTTTTGAATTTTCTCGGTAGGTAACCAATATCCATACAAAAACACTTCAATAAACAAAATTATTTGGTTTTTAGGTATTCAAATTCATCATGGTATCCAAAATGGTTTAGAGAGAAATTTGAAAATGTTATAGATGGTTAAACATGACAAAACCCAATTTTGACCCAGTAAGTCCCCCCAAAAACCCCATTCCCATGGTCTGATCATGCTGGATTGCGAACTCGTTAGAATCAATCCAAAGATTTGTTGTACTTTTCTATATGATATAACATAACATCAAACTTTAACAGCGTTAATGACTGTAGACGTGTACTTTTTATAGAACGTTAGCACAACTCAAGTAATAACTCTAGCAAAAATTACCCAATGTTGACAAAATTTGGTAAAAACGTGTAAATCTACGTTTACTCAAACGAGTTCGCGAACCAGCATGATCGGACCATGAGAACGGGGTGTTCTGGGGGATTTATGGGGTAATAATTGGGTTTTCTCATGTTTGCCCCTCTAAACGTAAAATTTTAGAATTTCTCTCTAAACCATTTTGAATACTCTGATTAGTTATTTTGCTAGTTATGGTTATATTTTGATAAAACTTGGCGAATTTATTTAACTTATTCATATTTTAATAAAACAACACACTTTATTACCATCCCCGTAGCAGCAAACCTAGTTAACACTAAACTTAATGTCATTGAAATGGATTTAATTGAAAATAAAATCAGGCAAATGGAAACTCACTTAATCTGCAGGTTTGCTGCGGTGGGGGTATTTTGCCTATTCCATGAAATGCAGGGATGGCATCACAACCTATGATTGCAAGGAAAATGAAAGATCGCTTCAGATTTCTGGAGAGAGTTGAAAAAACAAAACATTAAACAATTTTTAATTATTTTAATTATAACGGCCACCATTTCGAAATGACCTAACCAAACTCGACCATTGACAAACTGGGATTAGATATAGTATTCAAGCACCTGTATGCCAAATTTCATTAAAATCGGTTCAGGCATTTTGGTATAATAACCAATTCATAGCGACCCAGCATCCTCTTACGAGCGCCATATTGATGACGTCATTACGGGTGACCAAGGTCCTTAAAAATTCGGGTCTGGGCGGTTTTACATACTTGGTATTGTATATCTTCACCCTAAGTTGCAGGATCGTCGCCAGAACTGAAATATGTTTCTGCTACTCATCCCCACTACTAAGCTGTCAGTGTGAAGTCAAAACGATGATGGAGAAGAACGAGTTCTTAGAGTTGATAGAGACCCTGACGATTCCATGCATCAGGAGCTGATGAACAATATGACACGTGGTGGTTAAAGAGTCGTAACTACCAGTTTCTTGGTTAATTTTTCTCACAACTTTAACATGTGACACAGACTCATGATCAATTTTGTAATAGGTGATGGATATTAATTAACTGGATTATTTTACCTTAATTAATTTGTCATATTTAGTTTTTCATTGATAAAGTAGTCTTTTTCTGATAAACTGTCGGTTGCATTGCTTTTATTATGTTCTTTTTCGATTCTGCATCCTAAGAAACATAGAAAACGACACCCCACTTGCTTGGATCTCATAAATACAAATTTTCTCAAAATCACTACCCCCATAAACTTAAAACCCCATAAAATGGTACTTCCACCCCCACAATCACTAGGGACTCTTTAGATTCCAATACCTAATGGTAATTACTACGTTTCCTGAAAGTTTCATGAATGGACTAATTTTTATGTTTTCTACTGGTTTTTTAGTATAATTTTACCTGTACTATGCTTACCCCTAATAGTACTGTTTAAGCTGTGATTGTTTCAGGCAGCTTTAGGTTAAGTTAGGTTAGGTTAGGTTTGGTTAGGTTAGGTTAGGTTAGGTTAAGTTAGGTTAGGTTACAGTACACTCTCGCCGAGACGAGACGGAGCAGGCGATGGCAAACTATTCGGAGGGAATTCCTTCCCCGCCCGCCGGGAGAAATATCGTACCTGCTAAAGGTAGAAAGTTGGTGAATTTGGACATTAGAAACGACCCCAAAAATGTTGGTGAATTTGGACCTGGCCATTAAAAATAGCTACGAAATTCACCGAAGTAATTAGCCTTTGTGATGCAATAATTAAATCGCTGCATACTAATGTTCATTTGCACTTACGCCTTACCTAAAGAACTAAACAAGTTTCAGTTTATACCTTTAGATCATGAGAATACTTGGGAATATCCAAAATCAATGCTGAACTCCTCCAAAGAAACATGAGTGCAGATTTTGATTTCAGCAGGTTTTGACTTGCTGCCAGCGGCTACACATGTTTATGTTTGCAGTGATTCACTCTACCCGGCCTTCGGCTATCTTTGATGTTTAAATTAGCGTATGTAATTCACACTTCTCTGCTTTACTGGTCTGGTCTGTGTGCGGTAAATTGGCTGAAGCAACTTAGTTTCTTGCCAGAGGAAGATCAATGCAGTTTTAGAAATTAGTTAACTGAATGTTGCAAGTGTCTACGTGAAGTTGCAGCTTCTCGATACTATTTTTAACACTCGGAGTTATAGGATACTCTCCAAAACGATGTCAATGAGTGTGATTTTCACTACGTACAGCGCTAATGTATTATATTTCCAAGATGAAGTTGCAGCATTAACTTTGAAAGGAAAATAGACAAAAACCTATTGTAAAATCGGAAATCTATTATGTTTGTTTACAGTTCGTGACTTCAAGACACTGGTTTTTACTAAACATTTTGTCATTTATTTAGTGTGGATTTTACGAGTTAGGGTTTACT